AGCTTGTAAATGCTCTTGGATAAAATGAACTGTAGAAACCATCACTAAATTAGACAGTTTTAAGTAAATCACATTCCCTAGATTTAAGAACCTAGCAAACAATGAGCAGATTTTTAAATAGATAACTGTGACTTCAGAACTATTTAATTACAGGCATTTTTCCCCTACACCCTGCCTCTTTTAGAAACCTTGCTAAAGCATCTCAAGAATAGCCAGGTACTAGTCTGAGCTTAGTAATTGCAATTCTGTTTTGTCCTTACGCAGAATATGCAAAGGGCAGTGGGACCTCCTCACTCTCATCCCCATTACTGAACAGCCATACAGAGTGCGTCCAGTTGTGCAGGTGTGTATTGTTTGTGCTGCCACAAACCGCACATCAGTGGTGACGCGTAAGGGGTGCATGGAGCTGCATGTGCACCCCCTGAGAGCGCTGGTTCATCCCATGACAGCCAGAGGTCCCCACGTAGGTGACGGGCAGGGGGTGGGGCGCCAGGAGAAGCACTGCTGGCCCTTCTGGGAGGGCTGCTTGTGCTTCCTGGTCGGCGTGATTGGCAGCAGGGAACATGCCCCGCCACCCCTGGGGTCAGCAAGATCGGCTGTGGGGGACCCCCCCCCCCGGGGTGCTGACTGGCTGGGATGGTCATGTGGCCCCCATGACTCAGGAGGCACCAGTCACCCATGCTGCACACATTGCATGTTAAACTGTGCATGGTGCTGCTAACTTGCAGCGTGGGGGATTTCCCAGCTGGCTGTGGTGCAGTGTACCTCAGCTTGGAGTCTCCCCCTTCTCCATGTGCCTCAGCTCAGTGTGGGCACAGAGTACCTCGGTGCAGGACCTCCCCAATCTCCATGTGCCGCAGCTGAGGCATATGGAAACAGGAGCACCAGCCTAGGGCTGCCTGTTTGACTGTCTTGAGGCAAAACGTGCCTCAGTGCGGGGGCTCTGAAGTGAATGGAGATGGGGGAGACTGCGTTTCTGCATGCCGCTCCCCGGCTGCCTGGGGTGCAGGGTGTCTCAGCACAGGAGCTGCCCATCAGCTGTCCCCATGCTGAGGCATCCTGTGCCCCTGCCAGCCCTCTCCTGCAGCACATGGAGCCTGGCCAGGAACCAGGAATAGCTGGGCACTGCCTGCAACAAGGGGCATGTGCAGGGGCGTGTGCTGCAGCAGCACAAAGTAGCAGCACAAATTTGTTCTTGTTCCTCTGGAAGTGGCCATAAAGGCAAGTAAAATATAACATTACAAAATTTAACACATTGTATATCTAATCAAATCAAAATCAGCAACATAGTCTATTCTCTCCCATGATTATTTATTTTCAGTGCCTGTCTTTGAATTCAAATCCATCCTTGGATGATGCTTATTCTGAGCATGACTCCAAAATACTCAGAGAAAGGCCTTTAAAGTAATACTGCATTAGTTATCAACAACTGGTGCTAAATATTTTCTGCCATATATCCTTACATCTGGATGATCTCTACATCACATGTTATGTCAGGTATAGTTAAAAGACTGAAAAGCAACAGACTTATTTAACAGTTGCCTGCTTTACTTTTGCCAGGCCAGTGTTTATGTAAAGAGAAAAGTTATCTTCTCCATTTTTCAGGAAGTGTTTATGTTAAACATTTTAATTTGGCTGAACAGAAAAAGCAAGAATGATATTCATCACTTAAAGATCACATCCTATGAAGGTTTAAAGGTAGGGTAGATAGACACTAACTTAAATGTTGTCACACAATTTAAAATCAAACTCTCCTTGTTTTAGAATCTGAAATTATTAGATTCTAGAGCTCCATAGAATAGAAAAAATAATTTGTTTTCTACTTTTATAACTGTAACGTTAACTTGAAGAGTTATTCGGTCACATAGCATATACAGTATAACATGATAAGATTCCAGGACTTCTAAGTCAGTGGCAAGTGGGAGAGATTAAATTTGTTGGCAAAAACCAAGGTTTCTCTTTTGCACATATGAATTTGGTATACAATGCATTTTTCTCACATACAAAATGACTGTCTCCCAAATATCAGACCCCCAAAATTGAGGTGCATTTATTAAGCAGGGAAGCTGATTTTCTGCCTATGATTCCTTCTCTACAGTGCAGCAGCTATGGTATTTCTAGGTCAGCTGAAGGAATCAATTGACTTAATGGCTTATTGTTCTTCACTGTACAGTGTTAATGGTCTTGATGTTCCACTATTCAAGCTACCTTTCCTTAGGGAATGTTGTCATCTGCTTGCTACTCCTGGTTTCCCTATTTCACAGCCTCTTTAGCTCAGACTCTAGCTCTTTTGAAAATCGTATATCCACCCATAGAAACCAAAGGTTAGCAGCAGCTAGGGATTCAGGTTTAGTTATACAGGAAAGGGAGGGCAAATCAATTGAAGATTAGGCTCTGTCCTTGCTTCATGAAACTACAACTAAGGAGAAATCTTTTTTCTTCATTCTGCCATTCAAAAATAAGGTGCATACAATATTTGGGGATGTGTTATATATACCATATTTTCTTGCATACATCATAGCATGCTGCTGCTCTTTTTTGAGATGATTGCTTTACACAGTTCTGAGTATACAAAGCAGTGCTGCTGACTCTAGACTGAGGATCCATGAAAGAAATATGGAAAAATACTAAGGTTTTCTTTTTACTTATCAAATCTTTGTCTGTCATAGGACAAAACTAATACTGAAGCTTCCTGGACATGGTCTACTTTTCTGTGATTGCACAGTATCCTGCACAAGCCGATTCAAATCCCAATACATATTCATCATTACCTTCATCACTATAAGGATTATAGTCTGAGTGTAGGGCACTGCACAGATGTAGAAAAGACAGCATGTGGTCGATAATACTCAAACATCATAAGCATTATAAACAAAAATGCAATGTAATATTATTAATTCTCATACTAATAATAATTTCTAAATGTACATAATAAAAAGCGATTATAGATAAAAGCTTTGGTGATTATAGATAAAAAGCTGTTGATATAGAAATATGATTATTTGCTCTTTATTTAATCCCTGTATTAGAGACAAGCAAGCTAAGACACCAAAAAACCCGAGAAAATGGTGAAAAAAAATGTTAAAATTGACTTTTTGATGAGTCAAACTCAACCTGCCCTGAAGTTTGTTTTAGATGTGTGACCCTTTTGCAACAAATGGCTAACCTAGGCACTAATTTTGGGCTTTTAAAACTATTAGCAATTATAATGGAAAAATATTTTATCCATGTCACTTTATCTATCACAGGCCTGTTATATAACACCTATCACATGATATCATACTACTGCTGTGATGTATTTAATTAATATTATTGATTGCCAAACAGAGGCAGCTTCCTAAAACTTTTCAAGCAGATCACATAATTGACACTAGATTAACTTCATTTGCCCATTTTGAACTATCATAAAGACAGATATTGACAAGTTTCTAATTGTTTGCATTATTTTCTAAACAGCAATACTCTAGAATAAGTTACTAATTCCTATTGGGATTATACAGCCATAAACTCTCTTTGGGTTTATCTATGTGGGGAAGTTACTGCAAATTAAACTGGGGTGTGAATTTAAAGTACTCTGGAGGAAACCCTTGAGTGGAATGCATATTTTCACTTTGACAGCTGAGTAAACTACATCACATTTACTGTGGGTTAAGGATGCCTAAATCAGAGATAACTGCAGAAAAGCTAATCCACTGTAAATTCACACCCTATCTTATTTCACAGGCCTCTCTCTTTGTGGATGAGCCCTTTGACTCTTTCCTAAACAGTCTGAAAAGGAAACATCACAAAACATTTTAAATATTCACCATTCTAATTGAATGCATTTATATTTCTAGCACTAATATTAATTTATTTAAAACGAGAGACATCTCTGAAGGCTAAACCTCTCCATTCTTTTTAATTTTTTTAAGCGGAAATAATCTTTTCTAACATGTATATAAATGATAATTAATTCTACAGATAACAGCAAACTGCACAGCTTTGAATCTATGCTTTTAAATATTTTATCAGCACTGGATAGGCAATGATATGGGCCCAAAGTAGGGAAATAAATCTAAATACTACATACAAAGGTGACTGGCTCAGTTTAATGTAAGTATCGCAGGGCACATCCATACAAGCATACACATGCAGTACTGCGGACCCACCTGAGGCACTGCAAACCACATGTGATGCACATGCAGGGATTCACTGTGCTGCTAATTTGCATTACAGTGGGGTTTATGACACCGGGAGATCCCAGTGTCAAAAAAAACAATGGTAGAAAAAAGGAGGGTGGTGCACCTGGTGGCAGCGCATGCTGCCTGAAACCAAAGCCTTGATGGCCGAAGCTGCTGGCCAGGTTCTGTACACTGGATTGCTGCAACTGGAGCCCCAGGAGGCCCACAGGACCCCAGGCAAGGTGTTGGCCCCAGCCTCCTTTACCCTATCTGGGGCAACTTGCCAGGTGCCAGAGCACGCATGTATGGGTGTTCCTTGGGGACAAGCAGCAGTGGCACAACTATGTGTTGCTGCTATTTGTCCCTGTGGAAACGCATATGCACACTTATCTGTATGAATATGTAATAGAAACTGATAGAAATCTGTCTGGGCTTGATACTCAGTGAAAATCTGTCCACTAAAAATCTCTCCACTGATTTCAGTGGACATTTAATCAAACTCATAATGGCTATTTAAATGAGCATGTGAAGAATGGTATATTTTTCATAAATATACAACTGTTTGGATGCTTGTGTTTCACAGATCTAATTTTCTTGATCACTCTAACGGCAGACATATGAAAATATTAAAATCACATTTATTAAATAGGTTTTATTAAAATGAGCTTTACTACTTGTTATTTACAACTTACTGAGCATTATGTGCACATAATAAAACTAAGCATGACCTGTTTTATAAACATTCTATTCTTTATTGGGAGTGAACTAATTGATTTGCTACAAATTTTCTAACAGCACATGTACATAACATAACAAACAAAATAGTAAGATACAACATACCAATCAGTAATGCACCATCTTGTTCGAATGAAGCCTTTTCTGGACCACTTACACTGAAAAATAAATAAGCAATTTAAATCACTCATCTTAAGAAAAGCATTTAACTACTTTGTACAATCAAACCAACTTATACAAAAAGCGTATTTAAATTACTGTATTAAGAAAGTAAAGCAAGCTTTATACCAACATACTATATTTATTCAAATACAAGACAAGGTCTACCCCCAACTGGCATAGGGAAAAAGCCCCTCATCTTATAATTGTATACAAGGAAATCTCACTAAATACATTATCTATCATTAAACTGTTGCCAAAACAACACATGCTCAGCAATGGAGACCGACTATGAAGCTGATTAAATGCAGCCAATGCTGAGCATGACTATAAAACAAGTGGCCCACATTGGGAAAACATATTGAGAACACTTTTTTGTATGTGGCTCTTAAAAAAATGGGTGGGTGTTCCCTCTGCAGGAAAGTGGCACTAGCACCAGGCAGATCAGAGCCAGCCCTGACACCCTCCCTGTGGTGTCAAAATTGCTACATTTGATATGCTGAGAACCTACCCGCAAAGATAGGTTATTGCAGCCCAGCTGAATAAGCCATATAGTAGTGTTCATTAAATGCAGTCTCTTTCACTGCCAACTTTTTTTCAAGTCATGGTGAGTCACACCTAAACACATTTTGAGCTCCTTTTTTACTCCCATAGCTGAGCTGTGCCTTTCTTTCTCATTTCCAATGATTGCTGTTTCTTCACCAGTATTAAATGCCTGGCAAACATTATGAAATGCAGTCCAAAACAGTTCACCCAGAATCCCTCTGTTGTTCCCTTTCTCAGCCTGGCACATACGTTGCCCTGTGCCTCATCTGCATATAAATTTTTGGAGCATTTCAGGTTTTGTGACAAGAACACCTGGTTTCAGTCATGAGCATGGGCTAATTAGCACATGCTTCTTTTGTGGGGGCTATCTGGAGTACACACAAATACTGAGCAGTGCTGAGATGTGGGGTCACCATGACATTAAATGCTATTGCCTATGGTGGCACTCAGCCCAATGAACTTTGTAATAATTTATGAGCCTTTGGCTTTGGATTAATATCATGCATAGTTTAAACAAAAAATTATATTACATATGTATATAAAAAGATGTAAGTGCTGCTCAAAAGTGTGGTTATGGAGTACCTCTGCTAAAACTTGCAGCAGTTTCAAAAACAGGTAGCATGCATCAATTCTGAAGGAACTAAGTACATAACTGCTATAGGCAAATCACTATAGCTAAGTTTAATTTTAAGGTTATTTCTTCCAAATCTGCTCCTCACTTCCATGTGCTGAGAGAGAACAGGATCTGACAGTAAGGAAAAGGGAAAGGGACTGCCAGGGGAAAAAGTTGGGGGGAAGCAGAGAGCAAAGGGGCTACCTGGTCCACCAGATTTATTTTCCCTGCTGTAGTAGTGGGAAGTGAGCAAATTCAAGGCAACTTTCAATAATTACAATGTTACACCTGGAAAATTATAATAACTTTTCCAAATATAAAATCTAATTATTGGGGGGGAGGTCATCTTATAATCAGGGTCCTCTTCTATTCAAGTAAATACAGTAACTACTATGAACTATACAAACAGGTCTGAAAGAAAACACTGGGCATTAGGGGGCTCTGCAGTTTATTACTCCAGGTGCGCATCTGCATGTGTGTCTGGACCACACCACATTGATCCAGGTTGCACCAGGGGGTCAGCTTGAAAGCCTGGGGCTGCTTGAACTGGGCTCAATGTGCTGCAGAACTGGGCTGGCTGTGGCACAAGGGTACTTCAGTGTGGGGATAGGCAGCAGGCAGCCCCCACACTGACTGGTTGGCTGGGGAACAAGGATGCTTCATTGTTTATACATGCACTATTTGCACGAAAAACTCTGTAGCTGGGTTGTACTTGTAAAGTTTATTAGTTTTGTGTACCCTAATAGGGGTGCATGTGTAGACGTTGAGATGTTTACTCCACAGTTAATTAGTCAACTATGCAGTAAACGTTTCCTGTAGGTGTGCCCAGTGTTGCTCAGTATCCAGATTGAAACTGAGCTATTTTTATCCCCTCCAGTACCATATTTTAAAATAAATGCTACTTGAAAAAAAATGTAATTTTTTCCATGAGCACGAACAGTTAATAATAAGTTAATTTGTATTTAAAAGAAAATTAAACTGGCAATAGCTTGTCCTCAAAGTAAAAGAAAAAAACTTAAATATCATGAATAAGTATGGTGGAATGTTTGTAAATTTATCTAAAATTGTGAAGTGCCATCAACATCTATACAGAGTTACAATGAATGAGATGGCCTGGAAAACTATTTTTTGTCTGTAAAAGCCACCTACCTAATATTTCTATGAAAGTTAAAGAAAATTTAAATAATGCTGAAATGTTACAAGTGTCATAACCACAATGTCCCTCATAAGCTACAAAATCTACTGCCAAAGTATGGGACTTCCAGCACAGCAAAAAGATTCTATCAGCTTTGCTCCTAAAACGTTGTTGTCATAAATTACTACCTCCTCCCAAAAGTCATGATTTTGAATCCCATTTATTCACTGCTACAGCAACTGTGATGCTGGCTACTGTTTCCTGATCGTGAATATTGCCCCAGACAAGCTTAAATGATGAAGCCAATGATTTTATGGCAAAATACTGCAACTATTTATAACAAATAGCTATTAGCCATTACACAACATCCTTCAGAATTGAAGTCATCATTCTTCTGGCCTCTCATGAGGCGATGAATACAGCTTTAGAAAGATGTCCCCCTCCAAGGTGCAGTCTATCCTCCTTACTAAAAATACAACGCTGTAGATGAAATTCTCTAGCCACACCCCAGAGCCCTTCATAAGTAAATGAGTACCTAATCAAGCCCAAGCAAACTGTTTTTATCCTTCAGATTACTATTGTCCTATTTTTTACTTCTTTTTTTATAGGATATGTCTAGTTTCATTGCAGCCGGATCATTTAGGAAGACAGAAAGCAACCTCCCCTTGTTCTTACAGCTACAAATCAATAGCAACCAAACCTAATATGGACTCTTTACTGTGGGCCCCCATTGCCTAACTGTTCTTTCTACACTCAAAAATAAGTTTAGAACGATTTAAAAATATTTATCACACTGAACTGAACAACTTGAACTTAGAAGCTTAAAAATAAAAGCTGCTTCTTTACATAGATTTTTTTCCCTATTCAAATCCATAAACAGAATTCATAAACTGAGTTACTTCCATTGATCTATTTTCAAGTTAAGAGAAATGACTACTATATAAAATTACTTAGTGTTTACAAACTGAAGAGAAAATAAAAATGTGTCCACTTCCTCATCTATAGATTGAAATGCCTTTAAATACCTCTACAATCTCAATTCTATACGTACATAGAATATGAATTTTATCAGCAGCTCTGCGAAGTATCTCTCATATAACCAACTTAACTGAAGTACAGTTTTGGCAAAAGCATACTAATAAAAAGTGCACTCTCATACACTTCCTTATAGTTTTACTGCTCTGCATCATTTCAGCAACTGGAAAAACAAGGAAGTATTCCACTCAGAATAGTAAAAATTTCAAGAGTACTCATCCACTTTATCAAAATATACATTTAATACTGCAAGTAATTGCACACTGAATTATTTCTTTCATTTTCTATTTGTGATTTGAACAATGCCTCTGTAATTTACATCTGACTGCTACACATGCATCAGGTATTTTCAGGAGGGGACTTTCTGAGTTTCATTTTACTTGATAAGGCTCTGTGCCCTTCTGGCACCAGGGCTTTATGGGGTAAAGTAAATGGCTGTTAGTAGCAATGTTAGTGTCTTGTTCTATGTTGCTATGTTAGTAGTGGCCTGAAACCTATAGTGGCCAGAGGAAATGCTACAAGGACATGCTGAAACCATACCTCAAGACAACAAATGCTGACATCAAGAGCTAGGAGGAGCTGGCTGTTAACCCACAGCACCACAACCTCAACTAAGTGGCAAACCATTTTGAGGTAAAGCGTCTTGCTCTTGAAGCAGAGAAGAGAGAGCGGAGGAAGGAAAAGGAGAGAAATCCTGGCCTATGGCCTCCTCTTCCTTGCAGAAAGACCTGCAACTTCTGTAGATGGGTCTGTGACTGAAAGATTGGATTCTTCTGGCACCTCAGATCAACAAACCATGGGAGAGATCATCCTCAAATTAAGGGATTGCTACAGTGGCTGCTATATCGTTTCTAGGTGTCTGTTGCAGATATAGGGAGTATCATCTGAATACATGGTATGGAAAGTATTCTCAGGGTAAATGTTGCTGGTAAGAGATTGCTACTCATACTTGATGGTGCTTCAAATGAGTGTTGACTGTACATGGAATTGTGAATTGGCAATTATGAGGCCTTTTCAATAGAAAGTTTTACAATCTGTGATTTTATCCCGGCTAGAGAAAGACTAGTATCATTCTGTTTAAAGAAGAGTTCAGGGAATCCAAAAAGCAGATCTGAAGAGATGCACTTGACTTTTGGGAGACATAATTTTAATACTAGTAATCCACTTAATGAGACTATAGTGGTAATTCAGCCTATTTTTCTAGTCTTTTGTTAGCCTCTGTAAGCAGTTAATAAAGCTAGCAGACAAGGTTCTGAATTCAAGATACCTTATTTTATATGGGAATTATTAAGAGAATGTTTATGATAGAAATATAGAAAAGAAATTCTATTTAATGGTAGCTGCCTATATAATATAATACTATACAAACCTGATGGAATTCTGAAATGATCAAACATTTGTTGTATTTATAAAATCTCTCTTTTGAGACTAAGATGATTCACCAGACCATTAGCCTACAACAAGATTTGGTAGCGTATTTTATGCTTGTGATCATCTTTGATTTTCTTTTTAAAGAAGAATGGCTAGGGAGTCTATTGCAAATAAGACTGATGATAAATTATACCCTTACTTTATTCCTCCAGATTTAATTATTTGGATATATATACATTAGTTCTGATCAGAACAGCTACAAAGTGAAAAAAAATCCCATTCTGTAAAATTGCATTATGTTTGTGTCACTGTTCCGTGTCAGTATATAATGA